TCAATACATTTATCTGTTTATAAACCAATTACAGACCTATTTTTTTCTAACATTGCCTTTTCAGTATACAGAAACATTAGTCTTTTTGACAAAACAGTAATTTCCAAGGATTGATAACCATTTCAGCCACAGGGCATCAGCATCTTCTGTTTATTATGAATTACTTTATGTATCCATTACATGCTAATATATATGACTACATTGAAATCAAGTTCACAGACTTTTTATTTTCCATCGTTCAATTTAATGGTTCAATTCTTTGTATTGTAGGAGTCCAAATCACAGAATCAAATGGAGTAAGTACAGTTATACTTGATGAATATTCTGRAAAAAAACAGTGATGATTTAAGGATATTAAAATTCAGTGTTTAGATCATTGAATTAGGTCTAAGAAAACAGGTTTCTTGAGTGTCATTACCTGTTTCAAAATAAGGATATAGTACTAAATATGGACATACACTATTAACACATAGTATTTAGAGGTCATATGACAGGTTAGATAGGTAATCAGCATAGCAACTCAATATAAACTAGCCTATAAAAACATACAAATACATACAACATACAAAATCAGGAGTTAACCCAATTTAGTAATTAATCTGAGCGATTAATTATCAGTTGGCAATCTGAGCAATCTTATATTACAGAACTCAGAAATCAGAGTGTGTTTCGAAAACCACAGTCCTTTTTTGTGTTTCCACCTGCTCAGGTTCAACAGTTCACTTCTGCACAGGGTACAAGAAACATTTAGTCCAGAAGGAAGTGACAGCTGTGCAACAGTTAATCCATCATCATGAAAAAAAAACCACAAAACACAACAAAAAGAAAGCACGAGATAGCAGAGAGAATAATACAATGGAGATTCCTAGCAGAAATAGATGCTGGAAGAATCTGTTTTATTTTCAAAACCCCTAGGTCAATCTCTTTAAGTTGAAACAGTAACCTCTCTTTTTCAGCTCCTAAGGATTCATGTAAGAAACAGTGCTTATGGGAATCATAGCTAAAAATCTATGATTAAGAGCTCTGTAATCCTGAGCTTTTAGTGGGAAAAGGAACATTATATATCCAGACAGAAAGCCTTGGGAAGATAAACATATTAAAAAAACCCCAGCCCCTTTTTGCAAAGAATATCAAGATAACTTTTTAAATCAGTGATTTCAAAATATTTTTGAGCTTGGGATAGCATGTTAATAATCACAGTGCATATGATATGAAAGACCTTTCCAGTAAGAAAAATCTCTTTAACTAGGGTTTTGATGTTGTTACGTAGTGACAGTTGGAGGAAACTTAGATGACTGGATAGAAATTCTGACACTTTCAAAGAAAATGTTGGTTTTGCTGATACAAAGATGTCAATTACAGTAACATTTTTAATCTCAGTGAAGCAGATATACTACACATTTCAAGCTGAAGCTATGCATGTTCATCATGTCTCTGCATGCCACTGGTTAAATGATTAAAGCCAGAATSTATGTGCAATGTACATTCCAGTGCACCCTCTGTCATGCATTCTGAGTGGAATGCTGCAAAATCATAACCAGTTGTACAGTAAGATGAAACACTGGGACTCAGCACTTTGTCCTACAGAGCTCACAATGATCGGGAACTTCCACAGTGACAGCGCTGCATCAAGCAGGTTTTGAACAGATGAGCAGAACTGCTTGGCACTGCAGACAATCATAACTCCTCTTGTTTTATTTATCCACCTTCTGGACAAAACCACTCTTATATTTGCCAAATCTAAATGGCAGGTAAGATCAAATGGTCTCTGGCATCATATTCACAATTCCTAAGGCGGTGGAGGCGATTGCAGGAGTGAGGAATGAAGTCTTCCCATGGGGCCTGAGAAATAGAAATTGCCATGTGCTCTAGTCAGGATTCCGTAGGGATGAGGTATTTTTATTTCCAAAGGACTGAAGTCAAGTTTATCACAGACTCTGTCTGCATTAATCTTGATCAGAAACTGATACTAACAGAGTTACTAACTGTGATAATAAATACATCATTTGCTCCAAGGAAGCTAAAATACAGGGGCTTCCATTGAAAACAAATGGGTATCATGACAAWTCTTCAAAATTGCCTGAACCCTTTATTGAACAGAGACTGAGCAGAACAAAATGAAATAGAATGATTTGCTGTAATGTCATATTCCCGCAATATGGGAAGGCCGGCAATAGGCTTTCAGCATACACCAGCAGCTGACTGACAGGTACATGTAACTGGAGTACT